GGTGCTGCTAACGTTACTAGCTCTCCTCCTGTTGGTTAGCCGTTGGCAGTGCTGCTAACGTTACTAGCTCTCCTCTGATTGGTTGTTTACATTGTTACATTATCAGAGATCAGAGACTAGAAACACATGTTCTACTGAGTATTGGAGGAGAACCATCATCAGTAAAACTTTTCTTAACGTGTAGAATTAATCTGTGGTTCACATGATGTAATTATAATATTTAACTTTATTTTTGTATGTTTACATTTTTAAATGACAGAGAAACCAATGACTCTATTGTATAGACCCCAAATTTCCAGCCGGGGAAGTAAATTTAAGTACAATTTTGAGGTACTTGTACTTTATACTCCCTCTTCATCTAAATATTGTACTTTTTACTTCACTAGATATATGTGATAAATTCAGATACTTTGCAGATTGAGATTGTTAATACAAAATATAGTCAACAACTGAATTATGATGTGATATTATAGATTTAAATAAAACTTTATTGATCCCTGGGGGGAAATCAATCACAAACTACCAGTATGTGTAAATTAAAAGTGATGAACACATGAATGCATCACTAATGTAATAAATATTTCATTCTGAAATTGGCTATTTGCATAATGAGTACTTTGAACTTTGTTACTTTAAGTATGTTTAGATTTTACTTATACTAAGGTAACATTTCGAGTATTTCTACACTGTAGTATTGCTATTTTTACATTTAGTTAAAAAGTCCCAGACTGCTTGACTTTATCCCCTAAAAGGTGTTGATTAATTTCGGGAGCAAAGGTTCGTTTTCCCCTTTTAAGACAATGTGAGGCTTTTTATTTATTAACTATAATGATTTATGGTGTGTCCCGTAGGAGCTGGTGACGGCCTGGTACATCGGGTTCCTGGTGCTGATCTTCTCCTCTTTCTTGGTTTATCTGGTGGAGAAAGAATTCAACAAGGAGTTCGCCACCTACGCCGACGCCCTGTGGTGGGGCACGGTGAGCAAACACACAAACAGATATATCTGAGCATCTGTAACACCTTTTAAACGCCCTTTTAATGAAAGGTTTTTATGAATTTTATGTCAACAAAAATGATATATAGTCTACATTTCTAAAGACACACCCTTATCCAATTAACATGTTTGGGTTTTAAGGACTTTTTAAAGATGATTTAGTACGGTCGCTCCCTTTGATCACAGTCTAAATCAAAGAAAGCACAATTGGAGTTATGCTTTTTGTTCTACAACAGTGATATATTTCCATTTACACTTCTTTTTGACCTTAATGACACCTGCAATAGGACAGGCCTTTAACGTCACACTTGGCTGGCTGTATTGTTTCCTACATCTGAAACCTATTAAATACTGGAAAAAAAAACGGCCCAATCGATAGATTCAATTTTCTCCTGCTGCCCGGTGAGACTGAGCCGTTAGATTCTTGTGGGAATGACTCACTGTGTTCCCTCATTCTGTTCCCTCATTCTGTGGTCCTGCAGCATCTTCTTCTTTCTGTTAGACACTAAAAGCTGTTACATCATTTTAGTGAAAAGGTGAAGTTAAGCCTCACACAACACGAGAGCTGACGAAGAGAGAATACGAGCTACTGAGCACCATGTGAATCTGCAATATCCAAAAGTATTAGTTCTTCCTCTTTTATTTGAGAACCAGACGTCTTTACCAACATATTATATTAAGAAACCAACAGTTAGGTTTAGACAACAAAAGCAACAGTTAGGTTCATGCAACAAAACCAACAGTTAGGTTTAGGCAACAACACCAACAGTTAGGTTTAGACAACAACACCAACAGTTAGGTTTAGACAACAAAACCAACAGTTAGGTTTAGACAACAACACCAACAGTTAGGTTTAGACAACAAAACCAACAGTTAGGTTTAGACAACAACACCAACAGTTAGGTTTAGACA